AGTGGTTTTATCCGAACAGGAAGACATGTGCATGGGTAGATTTTAGAAAGTGATCTGGCAGATCTCCTGATTAGAGCCACCGGTGCTGGGCTTGGTCTCACTGGCAAGGACACATTTGGTCATGGGTCTGGCCAGCATGGGACTCCAGTGTGGGGCAGGACATCCCAGCAGTTGTTTGGGAGAACCAGTGACACAGGAAGAGTAGACACCAAAGCGGTAGACAGAATGGAACCCCATTCCCCACCCCCCACCCCCTCCAAATGTACTGCATCAACCAGACTCAGGCAGAGGGAACCATGACCCCAGTGTTTCAGCCTCGACCATGCTCATTTGGTCACCATCTTATTGTCTATTACTTGAAGCCAAATGTCCCGTGAGAGTTTATATTCTTCAATATTATGACAGATAAGGAAAGCAGGGGTAACCTCTGAAGTTAAGTGAAAAAGGATTTCCAGAAGCTGCTTTTCAGAAACACCAGCAAGCAAATGTTTGCCAAGGGCAGGCACTGTGTGTCTACGGGCAGGTGGTGAGGCCATTGTTGGGGTTTCCAGGAAGAAATGTAAGAGCCCAAAGAGTCGCACAGCCTCAACCCTGGCTGCCATACGGGAACAAACGTGCAACAGATTAAATATTTATCTATGGTTCTGTCCACCTCAATAAAATATGGCACTCTTTAAAGCGGGTGCTGTAACGACGTTTGTGTGTCTTGGAATGCCGCCCTAGGCTAACAAATTGTATCTGAAGATGTGAAAACATGAAAATCGATAACAAGAAATGAAAAGTCTGTTTCACTGATAAAATACCATTTATCTTAATCATTGGGGGCTTCTCAGAATTTCCTAAGTGCCCTTTTAAATGCCAGCAGCAAAGCTAATGCCCATGTGTGTGCAGAAAGTACAGGGGGATGGGGACGCGGAGGCAGGAAACTCCAGTGCTAGACCTGGGGAAGCATCATTCTGAGGCAGGCACCACTGAGCTGCTTTGTAACCAAGGATGTACCCAAGTGGGGGTTTCCAGGCACGTTTCTGGCATTTCAAAACTCTCCGTGCAAATGATATAACTTCCCATGGAAGACGTTTCATAAAGCACTAACTATGCAGAAGTGATCTCTCCCCTTTGGCTAGGTTTAATATAATGGGGGAGACACCACAACAATTATAATTCATGCTGATTAATATGGATTTGGAAAGTAAAATTAATATTCTAACTTCAGAAAGGCTTTCCCTTGTTCTGCCCCAGCCTGGAGGACAGCATTTCTCCTGCCCACTGAATCCACACAGGGCTAAGAGGAAAGAAGGCCTCCATGCTGAAAAGGTGGCAGTACTGGTTCCCTGGGGCCCACTTTCTGCCTGGTAGGTCTTCCCTTTACTGCACACATGCAGCCTTATCCGGTCTTCATTTCCCATAGCTCTTCTCAGGGGACTGAGATAGGTAAAGGTCTAGGGGCTCCCATTCTCCCCACACCCCAGCAGCCTTGGGGGGATGGAGCATTAGAACTGCCCATAGGGTAGCCTGCATACCAGGCTTCCAGAGACCAAAGGTGGGTGCAGGTGGGCAGAGGCTCCATCTCCTTCCCAGCATGACCAGGGTTTGCAGACAGGAAATGTGGTCTCAGACCTCGACAGTGCTCACCTGTCCGCCAAAATTGGTTCCCTCACAGTGATCAGAAGAGGAATATAAATTGCTTCCCATTTTTCTTATGATAAAATCAACAATCCCCTGACACCTCTGATCTTTTACCTCCTCTCCCCCTCGCTCTTGGCATTCTAGCCATTCTGGCTTTTTGCTGGGTTCTCCAGAAACTGGGCCCTCCAGGAACTGGGCCTTCGCCTGGCTGCGGGACCTCACCCATGCTGTTCCCTCGAAGGTCTCCACTTGATCAGCTCCATACTCTGGTGATGTTATAGGGCAGCCCCGATATTGAACGGGTTGCCTGGCTGTGTGGGTCCTCACCCACGCGCTTAAAAGGGACTTATTAATACTCCACTACAGGCACACACAAAAGGTTAACAAAAGGTTTATTTACAAGGGAAAAGGAAAGAAGGAAAATGTACAACTCAGGGAGAAAATAGGGAAATAAAGTCTTTAATGCGTCCTACCCGATCCGCCGATCTGGAAAACCAAAGTCACTCTCAGAGCTGGGCAGATGCTGCTAGCTGGTGGAGAGCCAAAATGGGGGACCCCCCCAAAGCCCACGTGTCTGTCTTTATACTCACTTGGCTGCTTAACCCCACCCTCAGGTCCCAGCCACCTTCCCTTTGGTGGTGATGGGATTTGGAGTTCCCAGTGTCTTTGGCTTTGGCCTGGGGTGGGGGTGGAGTCCACAAAGCCTGTATGGAATTAGCTTTAGGACATCCTTTTCCCCCTAACAGTGACACTTTAAAATATCACTTTGCCAGGGACCTCTGTTGACCTCAGAATCGAAATAAGACCTCTTTCATAGCCTCTGCTGGCCTCAGAATGTAAACGAGGCCTCTTTCTTAGATTTTGTTCTTGTCTTCCTCAGTGGTCATCGCAATTTGTAAATACCATTGATTTGCGCTTAGTTCTTCATGTTTTCCCCTATTGGGCTGTGAGCTCCACCAGTGAGCCTCACTTGCACCTCGATCGCAAGTGACTACAGTCAACAATGCAGTCTTGTTGACTGTGTGGTCAAACGGCTAAATGAGTGGCTGAGTTCCCCAGAGCACTCAACCCGCACATTTCTCAGGGGGAGTTAGGCCCCAGGGTTAAGCACAATGGGGACATGCTCTTTCCTGTCTCCCTTTGGGGAGTCAGAATGTGCATTAATGTAGGAAACTCTGAGATGGGCTCCAATTAGAAAACAAAACAAAAAAGAAAACCAAAGCCTAAGAAAGCTGGTTTAATTTTCTTTGACTTCATTCATTTCCCCTAGACTCCCAAAGACCAGGCTTCACTGGTGACTTACTGCTTGGGAAGTCTGAAGCTCAAGATTCTCAGGCTTGGTGTGGGGGCTGCCCATTCTGTCCTGAGCACTCTTACCACTCCTTGCTGTCATCGGGAACAAACACATTCCAACTGACACATGCAATTTGCTTCTGTAGAGAAGCAGAGGGCCTGCGCAAATTTTGGAAGTAGCCTAGGCTTATATTCTTCAGGGAAAGGAGTGAAAAACAGTCAAAACTTGGTGTTGCAGTTTTTGTAGTTATGCTGTGAACAACTCTGCATATAATTTGTTCTGCTGAGACCTGAATCTGTAAATACTCAGAAGCTGGTGTAAAGACATATGTCTCTTAGCTGATTTGTGCCTTTACCTACTTCTCTGCATTTGCATCTCATTGTAGTTTTCTTGTCTCCAGTATTCACAGCAACTCAAATACTCCAGCAGAGCTAAGTGGAGTTCATGAGGGAAGACTGCACGTGGTATTAGCATTAGTGGAGGTTTCAGAACATAACACTCTTACATACAGGAGATGTTTGATGTAGGTAGGATTCTTGAGATGAGCCCATAGTAAAGGCAGTGGATCAAATTATTTTTGATCGGTCCCCAATTAGGGCAAAACTGCTTGACCTACTGACTCCATCTAGTCTCATTTTCCAGTGGAAAAATAAATTAGTGATAATTTGGTAGGAGTGGATTATGTATACATACATTTGCTCACACTGAAGGATGGATGATTCATATTTGAACCACTATGTATACATGTCTTAGAGTCTACTTATTGCAAAATTACAGACCCAGAGTACTATTGATGCAAATAAGCTTCAGTATATTCTGTAGGGTTAACCAAGCAACCCACAACAAAAGGAACTGATAATGATAAAGCTAAGCTAACAGTAATTCTTAATTAAAAAGTACCAAGAGCAGCAATTACAAATTGCAACCAACTCAGGCAACACTGATGATGTGCTGATAAAGAGTCCTTCCAGATTTTCGAAATGTCAACTTTTCAAATGAAAAGTTGCACAGATGAAATTGAAGCCTTCTGACAAAGTAGATGGCCTTATAGCAGAATAATGGAGGGTACTTGGCAACCTAGTACTTTCTTAGTTGATTACAAGTTAGTAGACCGAGTAATGTATGAATGAAGCCTTAAGCAAACTGCACACGATTCACCATAATAATCCAAAGATGGACCTATTTTTTAAGGTGAGTTCAGGGGACACAAGAGAGTGTCTGGTAACAAAACTCTACCCATCACTCACCAGTTCTCAGTTTCAGTCTTTTGAAATCACTATTCGGGTAGCACAGCCTTCAGCCAGCATTTTGGTTTCCTAGCTGGACCAGAGATGTGCATTTGGATTTACAAAGTACTCAGGTTCTCACTTTAAAATGTGAAAAGTTTCAATACTCAGTGCAAAATAATCTTCCAAGATAAAACATTTCATTTTCCAAGTGAAAAAAGCAGAAGTCTGCATGTGCTATTTGGGTTAAAAACAAAAACAAAAACCCAGCAACTTCACATGTATGGTGATAGTTTCGAAGGCTGGAGTACCCCAGGAAGTGAATATAAGAAAGGAATCAAAACAGTTGCCTCTGAGTAGGGGTATTTGCTGCTGGGAGAGAGGAGGGTGATTGGGGTTTTTTACTTGAGGTCTATTCATGTCTTGAATTTAGTATTCTTTATGTGTTAAGTATTAAAAAATCAATGAATTTAAATTTAGAAAAGAGGAGCAAAAGAAAAAAAGGAGTAATGAGCCAACAGAGATTTAATTCTTGTATCAGTTTCTCTTTTAAAAAGAGTGAAGGTTAAATTTGGTTCATTTACTGCTCTGATGCCCTGTCCCTCCTTCAAAAAGCCTGGCCATGTGTTAAGTAGATTCCAGAACCTAAAGGAATATCTCTAAATGAGAGGATGAGATTGTACAATCCAGGCCCACGCATTCAGGAGGCAGGTCCTGAGGCAATGACTTCAGCCTGGAAACCCAAATTTCTAATAAATTAGACCTGTTATTAAAAAACTTTCCAAGTGGTCGGATATTTTCATACCATATATATCTATATCTCTATATATAAAATACAAAAAGGCATTCTCAGTAAAAGCATTTATATATTTTCAGTTTGAACATAAGACAAAGGAGACAAAATTCATATAGCAAAGCATGTCTACATGAATGCATTTCTTTTATTTCATCCCAATTTAGTATTGTTCAAGGAGACAAAGCAATGACTGATCTTGATTTGTTATCAGGAATTTAAAAGAACAGAAATATTACACTTTTAAGGATTTCCTAATGAAAAATATAATTCATTAAGTATATAAAAAAGAATTATATCCTTTAACATGAATCAACACAAGAGCATACATTGTCTTAAATGCTCACAATACCAAAGAAATATGTAGTATGTCTAAATTTTATGGATTCTAAGCGACTGCAGATAGAGGTGTACAAGGAATGTTGAGAAGAAAATGTTTTGGACAATAAGGGAATCCTAACTCTGGGTGGGATGAAGAGAGATCAAAGTTGATTCCTCAGAGTAGACATGGACTTTGTGCCCAGTGCAGTGGAAAGCAGGCATAGAGCTCTAGAGGCAAATACACAGGCTGGTGTCCATCTGGCATGTTTAGGAAAATTCTGTAAGATTAAGTATAAGTGATTAATCCCGAGGCCTTGGTCAATTTGTGGACACAAATATATGCAAGCCCGATCCCTCTGCCTCAGGGAATTCCCCTATGTTAAGTGTGTATTTTCCCTGCTTTTGGTCTCCCTAGCACCCCTGTTCCATTCCTCTTCTGACAGGACCCAGCAGCCTAAGACAACCAGAGTCCTGTGTTTCAAAGTAGGGTTCATGGAGAGGGGATACAAGTAACCACAAGCCCACTAGTAAACCCACACAAGGAAACAGCTCGGCTTTGGTCTAAATGACTTACATTTTTCCTCGCCTGAATTAGCTGGTAATTGCATGTGGGCAGACTGAGCCAGAAATGGTCTAAATGATCAATTAGAAGGCAAAAAGGAATTGCTTTCTTTAAAGTTCAAGGGTCCCTGTTGAAGAGCCCTACTTCCCAAGCTATGCTCACGTGGGCTTGCACCCAGCTCTCTGCGGTGTCTGGGTATATTGTTCATTTGCCTAACGATAATGAATTGAGTACTTATTTTGCAGGAAAATATAGGGCATTTCCATTACATGCAATCAAGCAAAAAGGCTGCAAAATGTACCACTCCATTAATTTTAAACAGAATCCTTCCCAAATGTCACCCTGAAACCAGAGTATGGGGTTATTACAAATCTGAAGGAATTAAGAGTAATTTTCATTTGTATAAAGGAGTTGAGGGACATGTCTCCTGCCACACACACACACTATTAATTGGGTTAAATTTGATTTGCCAATTTCAGTGTGAATCACTAAGCTGTGACCTAGTCTGCCTGGTGGTGAGATCAGTGGGCTTCTGTCTTCATTGAGAGTACAGGTGTGCATGTGCAAATGTGCGCACACATAGGCACACAGGCATGTATAGCATGTGTAAAGAATGCACTGTGACTGGCTAGTAACACATATTGTTCAAAGTGGAAAAACAAATGCCAGCTCTGGCAAGCCCTTAGCCTGTCTGAGCCTCAGTTTCCTTGTCTGTGAAAGGAAATCATAACACCTGCTTATTGGGAGCCTGGAGGATGAAGGAGTTTGCACATATAGGAGCACTTAGCCTAGTACATAGTGTACACTCATTAAACAGTTAACTATTATCTTTATTTTCATCTTGGGGGTGTGCCACTTGTGCCTAAGCTGGTCCCCAAATGACACTGAGGGAAATCTGGACCTAGCAGAGAATATTCCCAGGGCCTGGGAGCTGGGGCCTACTCCGTTGGTGATCATTTCCTTGATAATTTCAGTTCCCGTGATCTCTGGGCAATGGCTGGACTTGTGGGAGAGCACAGAGCAGGAGACAGGAACAAGCAGGTTAAGGCGACTGGAGGACTGTCCAGCGTGTCCTCACTCCACATTCCGGTACTTGGTGAAGAGGTTGTACAGCACTCGCAGTGTGGACTTCAGGTCACAGTTGACAATGTCTGCACAGAAAACAAAAAGCACCCATTGTACTAGTGGGGCCACATGGCCCGAAGTTGGCATCCATTGCTCCCCTCCTTCCACCATCAGCCTTGTGCCCCCAGCAGGATCCTGGGATGGGTGCCGCCCCCTCACTGCAGGACATCATTCTGTGGTCCTGAAGGGCTCCCTGTTCTGCTGGGCAGGGAGAGTGACCTCAAGAGAGACAGCTATGAGCAAATGGGGGTTGAAAGACAGGCAGAGTGATCGTGTAGGGAGGATTCAGTGCAGGGGGCCTCTATGGCAGGGGTGCTGGGGCATGGGGGTTTCACTCATTCAAGTGGAGCAGACCCCACTGCAGGCAGCCATGCCTTGGGACAGTTTTCCAGGTGAGCGGTGTCAGTGCTGGCCCTGAGTCTGCCTGTCCCTCTGCCTCTAGCCTCACTACAGAGCCAGTGGTAGAAAGGAGGGGAGGGACTGGGGCCCCACCTCATACTGTTCTCCACAGTGGTCAGGATGCTGAACTGGGACTAAGTTTCCCCTAAAAATAGGGGAGGGCCCCTGGCAGAGAAGGGGGCCTGGCAGGGAATGTTGAGAAAAATGTCCTCGGGACAGACAGCTTCAGACTATGGACACAGCAAGGTTTGAGGTTGGGAGTTGCGCAGTCTTTTCAGGAGCGTTCCAACAGGGGTTCCTGAGTTCCTAAACACGACTGCCTCCTCTCCCCCTAATCCCTCTATTCCCTTCCTCCGATTTGCTGCTCCTCTAACTTTCTGCCTGTCCATGCCCTTGATAAAGCCCCTTCTTAGCTCTCTATATTAATAATGGAAGGATCCCTGCCTACTGTTTAGGATGCAGACTTAGGTAATAAAATTATAAGAAGAAGCAAAGAAAAGACAAAAGCCTGATGACTATGGAAGTTGGGAGAGTGGTTATCTTGGGGGAAGAGGATTTAGGTACAAAGAAGCAAAACTGGAACACTAGGAATGGGGTGGTTGAGGGATGGGGCACCTGCTCCCAGGTGCCAGTTGGATTTCTGCCCTTATGTGGGCCTCCACCTGGAGCTCTGCCCAGTGGCTAAGCCCTGTTCATGCTGAATTACCCTCTGCCTCCTGAATCAGCCTCTGCTGGGTGGAGCCCCAGCCCTCTGGGTGATTCCTGTCCTCCGGATGGGATTAGTGTTCTCTTCTTTTTTAAATAGTCATCATTCTGTACATTACTTCATCATGACTTATTTATTTTATATATGGAAGTTTGTGCCTTTTTATCCCTCCACCCATTTTACCCACCTCCCATATGCCTCACCTTTGATAAGCAATCTGTTCTTTGTATCTGTGAGCTTCATTTTTATTTTTTAAGATTCGACATATAGGGCCTCCCTGGTGGTGCAAGGGGTTGAGAAATGCACTATGGAGCGGTCTGCAGCCTCTGCAGCACGAGTTCGGTCCCCAGCTGGCCAGGAAGAAACCCACATGGCGAGGCAGACCTCTCCTAACTCGCCCACTGCTCTCCTCAGCAATGTATTTCGGTCGGTCTGCCTGTTCTGTTTCCTACTCTGTCTCTGCTGGAGCCTCTCACCCCCCGCATCTCTGGCCTGTACCCCAGCTCTTGTATGCATAAATAAATAAATCTTAAAAAAGATTTGACATATAAGTGATATCATACAATATTTGTCTTTCCCTCTCTGACTTATTTCAGAGATGATTTATTTCATCATAGTGTCGTGCTCTCATGTAAGGTCCGTCAATGTTGTCTTAAATGGCAAGATTTCATTGTTTTTTATAGTTGAACATTCCTCTGTGTGTGTTTGTGTGTGTGTGCGCGCACGCGCGCATCACATTTCCTTTATCATTTTACCTACTGGTGGACACACTCAGGTGGGCCCCTGTATCTTAGTTATCGTAAATAATGCAGCAATAAACATGGGAGGGCAGATATCTTGAGTTAATGTTTTTTTTTTGGGGGGGGGGTATGAATGCCCAAATGTGAAATGGCTGGATCATATGGTAATCTTTAACTTTTTGAGGAACCTCATACTGTTCTCCACTGTGGCTGCACTAATACATTCCCCCAACAGTGCACAAGGGTTCCCTTTCCTCCTTATCCTCACCAGCACTTGTGGATGACAGTTGTTCTGACATGTATTATTGTGTTTTATTTAAAGAATTATTTATTTATGCATACAAGAACTGGGGTACAGGCCAGAGGGGTGTGTGTGTGTGGGGGGGGGTGGTGAGCGGATTCACCAGAGACAGATTGGGGAACAGAACAGGCAGATGTACTGAAATACACTGCTGCGGGGAGCAGCGGGCGAGACAGGAGAGGTCTGCTGCACTACGTGGGGGATCAAACTCATGCTGCGGTGGCTGTATAGAACTTCACAGTGCTGCCTCTTAACCCCTTGTGCCACCAGGAAGGCCTCTTATTGTGGTTTTGAATTGCATTCCCTAATGTTAGTGATGTTGACCACCTTTCCATGTGTCTGTTGATCATCTGCATGTCTTGTTTAAAAAAATGTCTATTCAGATCTGCTTTGATTTTTTGTTTGGATTTTTTTTTTTTTTTTGCTATTGAGTTGAGTTCTTTCTATATTTTGGATATTAATTCTTTATTGGATACATGACCTGCAAATATTTTGTCCAAGGGTTGTCTTTTCATTTTGTTGATGATCTCCTTTGTGTGCAGAGCATTTTTGTTTGATGTAATCTCACTATATTTGCTTTTATTGCCTTTGCTGTTGGAGTTAAAGCCAAAAATCATTACCACATACGATGTTCAACAAAGTTTCCTGCCTATGTTTTCTTCTAGGAGTTTCATGGTCTCAGGTCTTAGCTGCAAGTCTTTGATCCATTTTGTGTTAATTCTTGTGTCTGATATAAGATAGTGGTCCAGTTTTGTTCTTTTATATGTGGCTGTCTATTTTCCCCATTTACTGAAGAGACTCCTTTCCCCACTGTATATTCTTTTTTTTTTAAAGACTAAGTCATTTTTTTTTAAGATTGATTTATTTATTTATACAAGAACCGGGGTACAGGCCAGATTCACGGGAGGGTGAGAGGATTCACCAGAGACAGAGCGGGGAACAGAACAGGCAGACTGAGGAAATACACTGCTGAGGGGAACAGCAGGCACGACAGGAGAGGTCTGCCATGACAAGTGGGACCCTCGCCTGCCAGCCGGGAATGAACCGGCGCTGCAGAGACTGCGGACAGCTCCACAGCTCAGTGCTCAACCGCCTGCGCCACCAGGGGAGGCCCCTCACTGTATATTCTTGATTCCTGTGTCATATTATTTGACCATGTCTGCGTGGGTTTATTTATGAGTTCTCTAATGTGTTCCACTGACCTTTGTGTCTTTCTATGCCAATACCATGCTGTTCTGATTGCTATAGCTTTGTAATATGGTTTGAAATATTGGAATGTGATGCCTCCAATTTTGTTGTTCTTTCTCAGGAATATTTTAGGGTCTTTTGTAGTTCCATACGAATTTAAGGATTTTTTTTTTTTTATTTCTGTGAAAAATGCCACTAGTGTTTGGGTAGGGATTGAATGAAATCTGTAGATTGCTTTGGGAAGTATAGAATTTTTTTTTTTTTTTTTTTTTTTTTATAGAGGCATGCTTTATTTATTTGTTTGCTGGTTTGTTTGTTTGTTTTGTTTATACATGCACTGGGTACAGTCAGAAGCGCGGGAGGGTGAGAGAATTCACCAGAGCCAGAGCGGGGAGCAGAGCAGGCAGAAGGACCGAAGTACACTGCTGAGGGGAGCAGCGGGCGGCAGGAGAGGTCTGCACGCCATGCGGGACCCTCCTCTGGTGGCCGGGGAGCAGCCGGGGATCGAACCGGCGCCGCAGAGGCCGCGGGCAGCTTCGCAACCCAGTGCTCAACCGCTGCGCCACCGGGGAGGCCCGGGAAGTATAGAATTTTAACACTATTCTTCTAATCCATATGCATGTACTATCTTTCAATGTCTTTGTGTCTTCTTTAATTTCTTTCATCAATGTTTTATTTTGAGGTCTTATACCTCCTTGGTTAAATTTATTTCTTGGTATTAAAATGTTTCTTAAATACTGCTCATGTCAAAGACTGCTCAGGTTTTTCTAGGGAAGAATTTCTAGAAAGACAGATAAGCGTAAGAGTGAATTGCTCAAAGGAGTGAGTGTGAAGAGGAGGTGCAACGGCCCAGGAGCCACTGAAACAGGCTCCTGCAAGCCTGTTAACCCATGCCAATCCATTTTACTCACTGTAGCTAGAGTATCTGGCTTTTTGTTATGGCTGTGTAGGATACATACCACACAACTCTAGGCACACCATTCATAATTCTAGGGCACCATTACCATAAACCACAATATAAGTGGTACTCTGTGGAGTTGTGTAGTTCACAACTTGTATGGCTACTGCCATTTCACTTAACATAAAGTCTTAAATCCTAAAAGGCTGCAACTGGTTTACCTTTCCAGTCTCATGCCATCTCCCCTTCATTCATTACACACCTGTCATGCCGCCTCCTTTCACTGCTTCCCATGGCCTGTGCTCCTCCAGCTCTGCCTTCGCATAGGTCATGGTAACACCTAGATCACTCTTCCCACACAGCTGATTCCTGATCTTCCTGCAGATCATAGCTCAAAGCATCGCCTCCTTAGGGAAGGATTCTTTACACCTGGCCTGAGTGAGGGTACCCTATTTTATGTTCTCAAAGCACCCATGCTCTTTCTTCATAACACTCACTCCAATTCTAAGTTAGTGATTTCTGTGCTTATCTGATCAAATCTGTCTCTGCCCTGGGCTGTGGGTAACCTGACCCTAGAATGCCTATCTTTATATCAGTGCCCAGCCCAGTACCTGGCAAGCACAGGCCTCAAGAAATATTAATAGGTAAATGAATGAATGATTGCCCAGTGTCCTGGGAGCGAAGGAATAAAATCCAGAAAGGAGTGGCCAACAGGGCTATGTGCTCCCAAGAAGCTGAGGAGGGTAAAGACGGGAAGGAGCCCCAGGAGACACAGCCCCAGCTGGTAGCTTGGG